TCAGATATACTGTAATTCCAACAGAGCCACCTTGCTTGGTCTGAGAATGATGGAGAACGAGGAAAACTGTTATGACCACCGTCACGTATCAATGCCGAGCCCGGCCCAATGGCTAGGTTGGCCAGCGGCCCAGGAGGGGCTTGGAGCCCAGGAAGCTCTCCCTATTAGATATTTTGCTATTTCCTTAATTATAGGATTGTGATTGGATTGTACTGGAAGGGATAAATACCTCTGTGACAGTTTGGAATTAATCAAGCAAGGCAAAAGTTATTTGTCTGGCCTCAAGGGCCATTACGTGATCATCCTGCCCCCTGCCCTCTTCCTCACGTAAGCCCCTAGGGCATCAGTCGCCTCCCTGCTCAACCACACGGCGCCCAAATACGCCTCCCTCGCCCGACCTCAAACCTCCCATCCCTCGCTCTTCACAGCCGCGGTAGGATCAAGGATCCTATCAATATGGTATCGGCGATGTTAGGTTCCAACGCTTCTGCCACGGTGACCTCCGCGCCGCCGGTTCCACCGCTTGTGCCGCCGACGGCGCCACCCTCGACACCATCACGAAGACCCTCTCGAGGTTGTCTAGTAGCTGGCCAACCTCAACCCGTAGCAAGGCGTCCATCACCTCACACCTGGTCACCGTGGAGAGCCACCAGCGTCTTCATCTATGGGCGCCATGCCTTGAGCTTTCCCTATGGGGTGCTGGGCTATGGCACGACGGCGCTGTCAACGTACTCCACCACCACCACCACCACCGCCGCCTTTTCTACTGCCGCTCCGCATACTACGCCGTCCATTGCCCTAGCCCCATCCTTTGGGGTTCCCATCCACCTGCTTCAGTTTCCACCCTCGCCATTCCCGCTGCCCAATTTTTCGGCACACCCACACCGACGTTTCCACACTACACCGCCCCGGTGCCGCCACCCGCGCCGGGCCACATTCATCGGATTGGGTGTCCCGCCAAAGAAGCTGGATTTCACTTTCTATGATGGCACGGAGGACCCCTGAATTGGCTCACCCACTACGAGCAATTCTTTAGGGGGCAGCGCACGCTCACTTCGGATCACGTCTGGCTCGGTCGTACCACCTTCGTGGCGCTGCCAAGACGTGGTACTATGCCCTAGAACAGGATGAGGGCGTACCTTCTTGGGAGCGCTTCAAGGACTTGTGTCACCTCCATTTTGGCGGCCGGTCCGTTGCAACTGCCTCTCCAAGCTGGCACGGTTGCCCTTCCACCATACGGTGGAGGACTACCAGGAGCGTTTCAATGCCCTAGTCTGCCACAACGCCAATAGGGAGGCGAGCTAGAAGGCGGACTTATTCGTGGGGAGCCTTCCGGAGCACATCCGCATCGACGTCGAACTTCGAGAGCCCTAGGACTTGCATACGGCGATGCACTTGGCTTGGCCAGATGAGCGCGTGTGTCGCATGCCATCCAAAGAAGCTTCAGCAGCGGCGCCAAAGACGCTTCAAAGGATGGATGTTAGGCGCCGCCGCTCCACCTACGCGTGTCTCGGCGCTGGCGCTGGAGCGCTCAAGTAGCCGCGACCGACAAAGCAAGAGTAACCAAAGACCAAAGATGCATCGCACCATAGCGGCTCTTTTGCCGCCTGACGCCAACTGAGATGCTGGAACACCGCCGTCAAGGGCTATGCTTCAACTACGATGAGCCCTATGTGCGGGGCCATCAGTGCCCACACCTGTTCTTCTTGGAGTCCGCCGACTTCCTGGTGGATGACCCCGTCGACGATGTGGCGGCCAAAGCGGCTGTCGCGGCGGCTCTAGAGGAGGAGCCGCCCATTGCCCCAGTTGTCTCCCTCTACGCCCTCACAGGCATCCGCACCGAGGAGACTATGCACCTCCACGTCTACATCCATGGTCACAAGCTCCTTGCCCTCCTCGACAGCGGCTCGACCCACAACTTCATCAACGTAGGTGTCATGCGCCGTATTGGGCTGGTCACAGGGGATAGCAATATGTGAGTTACGGTGGCCAACGGCGACCGCGTGGCCTGCACCGGCGTGGCCCACAACATGGCCATGCGCATCGGCAAGGAGGACTTTGCTATTAGTTGTTTCGGCATCGACTTGGGCTATTTCGACCTCATCCTCAGCGTTGACTACCTCCGCACACTGGGGCCTATCCTATGGGATTTCGAGGACCTTTGCATGTCCTTTCAGTGGGGCAATCGGTGCGTCATCTGGAAGGGCATTGGCTCACCGCGCAATGACATCTACGAGCCCGCCGTCCGCGCTGTGGTCGGCGACCCACAACAGCCCCTGCTGGATCGCCTGCTCCAACAGTAAGGGCGATCTTCGACGAGCCTGGCGGGCTCCCTTCGGTGCGCCCTTACAACCACCAGATCCACTTATTGCCAGGTACAGCGCCGGTGGCTGTCTGCCCCTACTGGTACCCTTAGCTTTAGAAGGATGAGCTTGAGCGCCAGTGTGCTACCATGATGGAGCAGGGCATCACCCGCGCCAGCACCTCCCCGTTCTCTTCGCCGGTGCTGCTTGTCAAGAAGACGGATGGGTCCTGGTCCTAGTGGTTGACGAGCTCTTGGATGAGCTCCATGGCGCCAGATTCTTCACCAAGCTGGATTTGCGGTCCGAGTACCACCAGGTTCGGATGCACCCGGAGGACATTGAGAAGACGACGTTCCATACACACCATGGGCACTTTGTGTTTCTCGTCATGCCCTTCGGTCTCTCCAATACGCCAGCCAAATTCTAGGCACCCATGAACGACGTCCTCCGGCCATTCCTCCGCAGGTTTGTGCTCATCTTCTTCGATGACATTTTGATCTATAGCTCATCGTGGTCCGAGTACCTGTAGCACGCCCGCCTCGTCTTTGACGCCCTGCGCGCCCACGGCCTCTTCCTCAAGAGGTCGAAGTGCACCTTTGGCGCGCCCTCGGTCACCTACCTCAGCCATGTCATCTCAGCTGACGGGGTCACGATGGACAGCGACAAGGTGGACAAGGTCGCCTCCTGGTCGGAGCCCCGCTCTCCACGCGGCGTGCGTGGCTTCTTGGGCTGGCTGGGTACTACTGGAAGTTCATCCAGGACTTCGGCACCATCGCCGCGCCACTCACTCGCTTGCTACGCAAGGAGGTGTTCGCCTGGAAGCCGGAGGCTGTTGAGGCCTTCGCGGTGCTCAAGCCGCCTCTCCTCCGATCCGGTTCAGATGCCGGACTTGACCAGCGAGTTCGTCGTCGATCGCGACGCGCCGGGCACCGGGTTCGGGCGAGGTTCTACACCGGGGTCAGGCCCGCCTTCTTTAGCCGGCCATTTGCTGCCCGCCACCACAAGTCGGGCGGCCTCACGAGCGTGAGTGACGGTCTCGTTCAAGCCGCACGACACCGGGCGGTCAGATCTTTTGGGGCTGCCGCCGCGTCTGCGTGACCGACCACTACAACCTGAAGTTCCTCCTGGACTAGCGGCTGTCCACGGTGCCCCAGCACTAGTGGATCTATAAGCTGTTCGGGTTTGACTTCGCGGTGGAGTACCGCCTAGGGCGCTTCTACTCGGTGGTCGACGCCTCTCTCGCTGCGGACGCCACCGACATCGCCAAGTTCTGGCGACATGCCGCCTCTGTCAAGGGCGCTTCTGCACTCGATGGGTCCCTCTGTCAGGATCCTCGATGACATTTGCGCCGCCACAATGACTGACACGGAGGCCGACCACATTCAGCAGCAGCTGTTGGACGCCTCCAGCGGGGCGCCCTGGTCGGCACATGATGGCTTCCTCCTCCATGACAAGCGGATCTTCGTGCCAGCTCTACACGACTTGCGCCATGAGGTGATTGCGCTAGCCCATTCCGCTGGCCACGAGGGATTCAAAAGACCCTCTACCGCATGCGCAAGGACTTCTACATCCCAGGTGATCCTGTGCTCGTCCAGGACTTCGTTTGGGCCTACGCCACGTGCTAGCACAACAAGCCCTTCTAGGTGGTCTACGTCGGCCACCCCCGCCTCTGGTCCCACATAATGTCGGGACGGCTCAGACCGAGGCGGTGGACAACTACTTTGGGTTCACGACGCCTTCCTTGAAGAGGTTCGCGAACGTCTTCTCCAGGCGCAGCAGTACGCCAAGCGACACTATGACGAGCATCACCGTGAACTGGAGTTCGCGGTGGGCGACTGGGTGTGGCTCTGTTTTCTTCATCGACCGACGTGCTCCCTGGAGTCCTGCCCCACCGGCAAGCTCGGCCCATGCTTTGCCGGCCCCTTCCAGGTGCTGGAGCGCATTGGCACGGTGGCTTATCGCCTTCGTTTGCCAGAGGGCGCCCGTCTCCATGACGTCTTCCATGTTGGGCTGCTCAAGCCTTTCAAAGGAGACCGTCCGGTGACTCCACCACTGGTGCCTCCAGTACAAGATGGCCGGTTGCTGCCAGCCCCGGACCGCGTGCTCCGCGGGGCGTCTGGCATGTGTTGGTCTAGTGGCAGGGCCTACCTTCGAATGATGCAACTTGGGAGCCCCTGTAGGACTTCAAGGACCACTACCCTGACATTCAGCTCGAGGACGAGCTGTTTGAAGAGGCGGGGAGAGATGTTATATGACCGGCATCATGTATCAACGCCGAGCCCGGCCCAATGGCTAGGCTGGCCAGGAGCCCAGGAAGCTCTCCCTATTAGATAATTTGGTATTTCCTTAATTATAGAATTGTGATTGGAAGGGATAAATACCCCTTTGACAGTTTGGAATTAATCAAGCAAGGCAAAAGTTATTTGCCTGGTCTCAAGAGCCATTACGTGATCATCCTGCCCCCTTCCCTCTTTCACACGTAAGCCCTAGGGTATCAGTCGCCGCCTCCCTGCTCAACCACGGCGCCCCAGTGCCGCCTCCTTCGCCCTGACCTCAAACCTCCCATCCCTACGCTCTTCGCAGCCGCGGTAGGATCAAGGATCCTATCAAAAACAACTTATACAACTTCCATGAGGATTTAAGAGCAAGCACACGGTTAGTCACCACTCCCTTTTGATCCAAATGTGTATTTTATACCTTGTAATTCTTTTTGTAGATATTGACCGTCTTTGCATGAGCTAATATCATGTTATGCGCTGCAATGTAGGGCTCAGTTGATGAATTCCCAGAATCGCATTTCCCAAATGGCTTGGAACAGTGGCTTGGTGGATATTTGCCGTTGAAGTATGCGAGCTTTGCCATAAGGTTTGGCTCATTGAATGTAGCCCAATGCTTTACTCGGTCACCAAACATCTTGAAGCAAAGCTCAGCAAAGTAGGTGAAGTCCTCCCTGAACAGAAATGCAGAAACCACATATGAGCTTACTGCATCTTGGTGCGGTGACATTTATCTTAGAAATTATTGGGAAACCTTTGTAGATAAAGCTATAATATGGGCTTACTGAATCTCTGGGCTCAACCAGGAGCCGTATCTTTGTTGGAGTTCCTCGGGTATGTCATAGTGGTTGATCGTCACAAATGGTTGTATCCCTGCAAACCAAGCGTATCAAGTGCCAGACTGTTGGCCCAGATAGAAAAGACTGAACTGAAAGACTTGCTTGTTTTGCAGGGTGGCATTTGTGGAGGAGGCGCTGGCCACATATTAACAGAACAAAGAAGGCATATGTACCTTTTTGTAGCATGCCGTTGATGAGACTGTTGTAGAATTTAACGCCTGCCGGATTAACATCTCCGAAGCGACCCTCTGACCAGGAATATTTGAAAGGTAAGCATGTAATGTAAGTTAAACGGTGGTACTAAAGGACTCCGTGCAATCTGATCCCCGATGGGTTGGAGCTCGGCCAAATGGCATTGACAGTTGGTGTAACACATGAAATTCTGAGAATGTGCTCACTTGGAAGTATTCTCGACCAGGACAATGAGAATCTGTAAGAGTCGAGGCCAATCGAATGCATCATTTCTATGTCCTCCTGCCAAAGCTGACTTTGAGTGAGATTTTATTTTTTGGAGGGAACTGCCGACCCCCTCGTCTTACTGATTATGCAGGGTTAAAAAATGCATGAGCACTGATAAAATGTCTTTTATCTTTCTGATGATGCTTTACCTTGTATCGATGATAATGGTCAGCGGCCACGTCACCATTGCTTCCATCCGCAATCTTTCCTGATTTTTGATTAATAGCCAAGACTAAGACAGGCAACAAAACCAAGCATGTCTGTGATTTTTAAAGTGCACACATGTTTATTTTTTCGATAAGAAAAGCTTTATTAATTTCAAGTTTATTACGTCGAGTTGATATAAGGATCTTAAAACATGGCCTATGCATAACTAGTTTGGATGCACACAGCCTAAGCGCACGTGTTTATAGCTGGGCAGTCACGAGCAGAAAATTGTCCTAGCTGGCTATTGGGTTGGGTGGCTCCAGTGCGGGCTTTGCGACAGGCATCACTGTCATCATTGGCCCCATCTGGATAGCTTCTCATTACCTCACCAAATTAACGTAACGTGGCGTAAGCGGAGCCAAGTTCTGTGGCTCTTATTTCCTAAGCGGCTAAGCCCCTCCCAATTCTAAACAAATTTAAAGTTGCATTCATTGGCCAAAAATATTCACTTCCTCCTCTGATTCAAGAGCGTGAAATGATCCTCTAACTGAGACAAAAACATGAAAGAGGAAAGTGCAGTGTGCAATGACCTCCTAAATGGACACATCTCCAAGTAATTTCAACAAAAGCACTGAAAATATCCTCAAGAATCGCTTGTTCTAGAATGTCCTTAACTATATAATAGTGGCTACTTCCACTCAAGGCGGCCATAGTTTGCTTATACTTCTTATTATTGGCTTGCTTAGATGGCTAAGATCATCGTATCCATAACTGAGACCTATGGAAGCACCTTGAATATGGGTGAAGACATCCCAATTGTTCAGGCCCTTGTTGTCTTCTAGGTAGGCGCCTTCAATCTAAAATGAGATGTAGAAGATAGTCATAATAAGAAGGAATTAAATGGAAAACAACAGAGGAGAAAAGTATCGAAACATACTATGTCATCAGGCACTGCAGGTATGACCAGATCAGCAAAACAAAAATTGAAAGGTTTCATTGAGTAGCAAAAGGGGAAACGGCAGAAGGACAATGATACACACGGCCATAGCAGAGCAACTAGCCGGTCCAAGGAACCTGGCTTCCACCTCCACTTTGCAGATTATAATGAAAATATGATGACGGCACACAGCTCAATCGAGTCATATAAACTATGCAGACTACATGCACGCGTGCGTTTAGAGCTAGCTTGCTGAGCTCGGCAACGGCTGCCGTACGGCCCGTACCTGGTAAGACGACGTGCTGGCGCCGAAGAGGAAGGACGGCGGGAAGTCGCTGCGCCTGAGCCCGGTGACGGAGGAGAAGAGAGGGAAAGAGGAGGAGGAGGAAGAGACGCGCCATGACGGCGGGTAGCCTATCTAGACTTCGCAGCAATCCCCAGTCCCCGTGCTCGCCGTGACGCCGTTCATACGTCCTAGTCACACGACCACAATAATACACTGCACGTCTGCGCCCGGTTTCGATAGATATAAAACCCGATAACCAAAATTCAAACCCGGATGCGAATCCAAAATTCCCGAACTCAAAGTACCTGCTTCGGATAGTAAGTTTGAAAACTCAACTTTAGTTCAGGTAATTCGGGTATTAGGTCGCAGTACCCGATTTACCCAAAATAGTCGAAGCCTATGTACTATTTAGTACTATATGAGATTCGACTGATAGTGCATTTTCTAATGTTAATTAATTGTGATGTCATTGGGACACATTTATCTATGTTTAGCGCTCGTGTTTTTTGTTCTAAAATACTACTAAGAGCTATTGTTTATATTACTTAGACTTGCATTTGTAGTTCTATCTCATCTAAATATTTGTACAGTTTTATTGATTTCGGGTAGTTTGGTAATACTCGAATCCAGAGCCAAAATTTCAGTTACCGAAATATCGGGTACTATTTTGTCAAGACAAATTTCAAGTATCAAATTTGAAAACCCAAATCATATCTTACTATTATTAGTTAGAGACTCTAACGGAGGCACCATATCACTATACGCGCCAGGAAAAAGATAAATTCTAGAAACTTTCATAATAATAAAAAACATCTAACCTTTAATTTGATAGAAAATTACACATCTCTGTCACTATAAAAAAAATACATAAAGTTATTATCTTGTATCTAAATTGCTGAAAGTGCATTTGCCTCCGCCGTGGGTTTTGGTGTGTCAGTGACATCCAATTTAGGAACTAATATGTTTATTGAAGTATATTGTAGTTCTTATTTCCATGAAATAATTAAAAGATGATTTCATGGATGTGGTACCCCCTCAATTCGTGTCGGGCTCCTAATGTAGGGTCCTTTGTTCATCATGTATCAGTCCCTGGATCAGTAGCTGATATGCATAATTCGAACAAGATTGATATCAAAAATCATACTTTTATTGCTAATGGGGAAAATCACATTACAGGGTTCGTGTTTACATGGCTTGGGCTATTGGCCTTATATCATATATCAGAGTTCTAAAACACAGTAGTCCTTAGCTCATCCATATTATAGAGCTCATCCATTTCATAGGTAATTAATGGAAAGTGGGAGGAGGTAGGTTGTATGATGGAGTTGGCGAATTGTGGTAATGGTGAAGAGGTGGAAGGGAAGTGGCTTAGGGATGGTGGATTATGTGGAGGGGATAGGGTAGGTGGGTGTTAGGACTTGCCTCCGCTCGCTGGCGAGTATATCCCTATTCCAAGATTCCAATTCATGTGCTCTTGGATTCCCCACGTCTTCTATTCTACATTGTCTAGTGTTGATACACAAGGAAGACACCAAGCAAGGCATACAAAGCAAACATAATCAATCAAAGAAAAGGAAACAGCCCTAGGGTTGGCTCTATTTGGTTGATGGGTTGATGTCTAAGGTTAACATTATTATGTCAATTTGAAGTAAGGATTGGATGAATGGGTTTCATCCCATATGATGTGGCTTCTATATGTTAGGTCAAGGTGGGGTGGTTATCTGGTGAAAATCAGACCACCTTATTATCTTTCACTATTGTGAATATATAAGAGAAAGCCTGACCAAGTCATCATAGGCAACTTGTCTGACTTCTACAAGTCCACATAGGTTTGGCGGCTATTTAGGTGGGTTCATGTATACATATTAGTATACATGGGAGAGGCTTGGTTAGTTGGGTACATGCATATACATTTATATGCACGTATAGGAAAGGTGTAAGTTAAGTAAAAGGGATAGGGTTAAGATAGTATGTGTTATGGCTAGGGTTAGTGGCACATACACATGCATATGTATATGACTAGGATTAATTAGATTTGGGAAATTAGGTTGTAAGGGTTAGCCACACATGGGCATATACCCGGGTGTATATGTGTCCTATACGCGGGGTATATCTATGTATGTAACATGTTATCCTACGTGAGAGGGTGTTGATATATTCAAGTATTCATGTATGTGTCATGGTGAACACACATACGCGAATATACGGTATTAAATACTACTATGGGTTAGCATTAAATCAAATAACAGAAGGAAAAACAAACAAACTAGAATTTAAATGGGCACCAAATAATAGGACAAAGGATATAAATAGATAGGGCTTAATTTTAGAAGATTTTTGGTGAAAGAATCAAGGGATTTTGGCTTAGGATGGGTGAGATATGATTTATCAAAGATTTATTAGGAAAAGGATACATGGAATATTCTTTGGAAAATATTTCTCGAAATTAGGATAATGAAAAAGGGTTGGAAAGAGCTTGGTTAAGTTCTAGAGTGTACGTAGTTTATTTAGGAATTTTTCTGGGAATTTTTCTATGTAAGGAAAATGGATTTTAACTCCTCTGTGTACAGTGTACCCAGCGCTTTCCCTTCGGCTGAGTGGCTGACACGCGGGCCACGGCTGGTGGGCTCGGTTGGCTGTACTGTACTGCGCACCGGGTCTTAAACTGTGCTGTGAACCTTGTTGCTCTCTCTCTGGTTCATGTGAACCGAGTCCACGAAAACCAAGGGGAGAGAGGGTGTGGGCTGCGGTGACTGCAGTGGGACCGCGTGGCGGTGTCGTAAGTCGGTGACACGCGGGCCATCACTCGTCTGACGGGCATGGACGCCGTTATGGCTCAGGCCCATGGGACAGAGAGTGAGAGACGGGGAAGAGACGGCGGACGACGCTGGCGTCGGCATGACAGCGAAAACAGAGCGAAGGCCGGAAGTTCACCGAAGTAGGTTACGCCGGCGAAGTCCTTGGCCTACGCTTGACGCTACGCGGTGGCCGGAGCTCGAGGGACAATCCTGCAGCTGATTGTGGGGTAGTTGGAGACAGGAAGTGCTTGGAGCGGCGGTGACAGTTCGCCGAAGCCGCTATGGCGGCGTGGAGACGCGCTTGTTCCTGTGCCAGTCGTTCGGGGGTGCAAAGGCATGCGCGGCGCGATGGTGATACTAGCGTAAGCACGTAGAAGCCTTGTCGCGCTGTTGCCGTGCCTTGTAGACGACAGGCAGCGGCTATGGCGGCGACTCTTACTAGGGATGAAAACAGTCGGAAACGATTGGAAAATCTCTCAACCGTTTTTTACTTCTACATTTGAATACGAAAACGAAAATGAAAGCGGTAAAGCCAGACATGAAAACGAACACGAACTTACAGAATATCAAAAATTTCGAAAACGAACTAATTCAAGCGAAATTATATCGAACACGGTCGGTATACGAAAAATCAATACGGAATATTGACCCGTAGGACCAAGTGCATAACAATTAATAAGTACATAATAATTAATAAGTCATACAACTTTCTTAAAAAGTATCTCCATTCGACACGATGTAAGGAAGATATGATTTTTTTAAGGCAACAAGCGCCTGTACGCGATTAATATATCGCTGACTTTATTTAATTTTTTTGAACATCTTCAAGACATCAAATGAAAAAACTAAGAACTAGAAAGTTGTAGATCTCGTCGAGAGCTATAATTTTCATATAAAAATCATCTTCATCCGAGATCGTATGAAAAAGATATAATTTTTCTAAGGTTGGACTTGCAGTAGGCCAAATTTGGTTCAAACCGAATTTCGAATTCGGGATATTCCGAATTAAAAGTAGAAAAGTAGAAAACGGTCGAAAAAATGTCTAAACCGTTTTCGTTCCGATTTCGAATTTGGTGTTTCGAATTTCGAACCGAATTCGAATTTGTCCGAAAATACGAATTCGATCGGATTAAATGTATAAAACGACGCGGTTCGGTACGGGATATTTCCGTACCGTTTTCATCCTTACTCTTCCCAGCGTTAGGACGACACCGAGAGGCTGAGGGGCTCGGAATGGCAGAAAGTATGGAGGAGGTGTCAAGGAGCTCGCCAGCTAACTCAATCGACCTATGGAGTACGTAAGAGGGATAGAGTGGAGCTTGCTCCGATGGCAGCCGATGTGCCCGATTTATGGGAAATTGGGCTCAGGCTCAGAATAGAGAGGGAGGAAAGGAGATGAGGGGGAGGTGGGGTGTTCTAGACCTAGGCGGAGCTCACTATGCAGATGGTCGCCGAGCGGACCTATTTAAAGGTCGGCGAGGTTGGTTAGCCGGCGAGATATTTTCTTGCCGCGCGCCTCGGAATCCTTCGCTGTGCACGTGCTCAAGCTTCGCCTGGCGATGAGCTGGCCATTGTACAGTGCATTCTTATCCGAGCTCGGCCGGAAAACTCCAAGCTCGGCTATGGCGGTGGCAACGGTCGAATGACCTTGTGCTGCCGCGTGTCGGGTAGCAGAGGGAGAGAGGAGGCGGCGGTGTCGCGATGCTTCAGTGGATCCCGGTGATGTCCTTGATCCTTATCCGCTTCGTCGAGGCGAGGGGTGGCATCGCGGCCGAGGCGATGGTAGCGCGACGCGGTATTCCCATCGTCGTCGTCGGGAGGAAGACGACGATGATAGGTGGGGTCGCGGCGTCGGTGAGGGAGAGGAGGAGGGGATGGGCGTGTGCTGGCTGGGCCGGGCCAAGTGGGAGAGAAGGGAAGGAGAGCACGCGTGCGGGCTGGGCCCATGGCGGCCCATGCAGGTAGGAGAGGAGGAAGCGAAAGCGGTCCGCTTCGCGGGCCAGGAGGAAAGGAGAGAGGAAATGGAGCCCGGGTTCCATTTCCTATTTATGTAATCTTTTTCTTTTTCCTAGAAATAAACTAGGCTTATTTGAATTTGGTTTCAATTTGAATTTCAAGGGCATTTGAAAGGATGAGTGGTTTGATAAGTCAAGGGAAATGTTAAGGATGGTTTGTGGTAAGTCAAGGATGGTTTTCAAGGGGAGGTCATCGATGGTTTCGAAGGAAAATGTCAAGGGAACTATTTGGGAGGGATTTGCCAAGGAGAAATATTTTGTGTCAAAATAAATTCTAGGGATTCACACAAGCATTCAAACAT